AGAGCTGGTAAAGGTAAGGTAATTACTCAGAACCCGACGCGCATATTCACATGCCCAATGTGCTCTGGCAGACACTTAATTGGGGTCAGTTTGTCGTTTTGAATGCTCCTCCAAAACTGATCTGGAGATCTGTAACTCATGCAAAAGTAATATTCACCAGATCCAAACACAATGACTGATTATATTTTAAGATCCCTAAATATCTAAACTGAATCCTCCATTCCAAACACGTGAAAACAATTGAGCATGCAGTTCGCTAGTGTACTCCGCATGGTTTTTTGTGTTGTGACCCATCCATCAGCTCTTTGGCTGGCTGAAGTCATTGTATCCCCTCTTGGTCTACAAGCTGTTACCTAAGAGCTGCATGGCACTTTTCAAGAGAAATGTCACCATGAAGGAAAATCTCTGTTTCTCAGGTCCGCCTCCAGCCCAGCAGCGGCAGGCTGAAAGAATGTTTATAATTCATGTTAAGTGAAAGGACTCTGGCAGGACAACTTGTCCCTATGCCTCAGTTCTCCAGTCATACATCAATGTAGAGTCTAATAACCATGTCCAGTTTTACATTTGGTTTTACAGCCTGCTCCACCTCAGCAGGCCCAGGACAGGCTTTTTATGGGTGGGCTACATCTTTCTCATGCCTGACGAGTCGGCTACTCTACCATAGTGGGCTTCCCTCGTCACATGACCTGGGACAACATGGTGAAATGGTGTAATTGAAGTGTATCCTTTGAGGAAAAAAAGCAAAGGATAACAGAAACATAACTGTCATAAACTTGAGTGAATGTTGTGTTGAAGTTCTTTTATTTACATATATGACATATTTATATAGTTGCACATATGATTGTTTCACACCGGAACATTTTTAACTAATATATCAGTCAGTGATGTACAGGTTGTATTGGCAAGGTGCTGTTTCAGAGCACGGCAGCAGTCAAATCACTGGCGACATTGTTATTACAGATGAAACTCCATCCCGTCAACAAAAACAACCCGCCCAATGTTCCCCAAAGAACCTTTCAGTGAACAGTTCTTAAATTAACCATTCTTTTTATAGCGTGAAGAACATTTGAAAAATCTGAAGAACCTTTTTCCACCATAAAGAACCTTTTGTGGAATGGAAAGGTTCACTGGATGTTAAAGGATCTTCATGGAACCAATGATTCCAATAAAGAACCTTTATTTTTAGTGTAGCAAAGACACAGTAGCATAGACATGTTATCTATCCTCTTGAGAGCCAGCAAAAGGACTTTTTTGTTTGTTTAGGATTGTGTAATGTAATTTGTAATGTCTTTAATTTTCCAATGACATGAAATGAAAACACACACACATATATATATATATATTGCAATATTGCACGTCTTTTGTTGTGAACATCAGGAATCAGGACCCAGTTAAAAATGAAGGCAAGAAGCAAGTTTATATTAACACGTTTTGCAACTTGCAATGAAATTGTCAATTGTCAATGAAAGTTAAACCAATGAAACTTTGGCAAATTTAGCCATATTTCATATAAAAAAATTTTGGGGTTGTTTTGTTTTACCAAATTCACCTGTAATGTCTCCCCACCAAGTGAGAAGCAAATTTCTATTTTTGACAACTTCAATTTGAAGTTTTCAAGAGGACATGTATAGACTTGACTATAAATACATGTCACCTACAAATGAACTGCTGGATCCCAGGAGGATACTGAACTGATGATGAACTGCAAAAACACTGGAGAAAGAGCACAAAGTCAGTGCACTGGAATAAGTCCTACATGATCAATAGCTGTTTCAATCCACCTATTTTTATGCACATTTTGGAATATCGCCTTAAAAAAAAACTCTGGATGGAAACGCCAAGATGCGCATAAATTAAAAAACTGCACATAAAAAAATGTATGCGCACATATTGTGTTGGATAAACTTTTTATTCGATAAGAAAAATGTGCATAAACTACGATGGAAACACATTTACTGAATAAAATCCTCCATGCGCATCAAAAAAAGTCATGTGACGGGATACCTGGACTAACCAGCGGACCGATCTCATTGCACAGCATCTGAAATGTTGTTATGGTTTTTCTTAAATGCCCGAGCAAAGCCTGTCGTCAAAGTATTTCTGTATAATTGCCTCCCAGAACTGTCTTACACCACTGTGTTCCGCCTCCAAAAGCAATGACCGCATTTATTGTGTTTTGTCTGCTCGCTCTGAGATGCGAGTCATTGATTATATATGAAAATTATTACATTCAGAGGCTTCTCCTACTTTTCTTAGTGATATTTAGTGCCAGTGTATCAGGAAGTGAAGATTTTGTCCTCTTTGGCTCGTAGGATGGAAACGGTGCTTAATTCGCAAATGTTTTATGCGATAATCCAATTTTGTGCACAAGTTAAATTCACAACTTTGGAAGGAAACATAGCTAATGACTGAGCTTTAGTAGGATCTCCAGTTTAACCTCCTCATAAAGCTGAGAACTACATCAGCTCTGAGCAACTGTATATGATGCATTGTGACTCGTCACATGTTTATCTGACCTCTCTCTGTTTCCACAGGGCCATTTATATGCACTCGGTAAGTGGTTTAAAACTGTACAGAGTCATTCTGCTGGTATGTAGTCGTGCTATTTCGGATCACAGCTGAGGTCTACACTTTAATTATATTTAATCTGTTTATTACAAGCTGACTTGTCTTTAAAGGGGTCATATGATGCGATTTCAATTTTTCCTTTCTCTTTGAAGTGTTACAAGCTCTTGGTGCATAAAGAAGATCTGTAAAGTTGCAAAGACTAAAGTCTCAAATCCAAAGAGATATTCTTTATAAAAGTTAAGAGTCAGCCACGCCTACCTAAAACGGCTCGTTCTAACACGCCCACATGTCTACATCACTAGCTGGGAAGATTTGCATAACGCCATCCAAATGTTCACGCAAAGAAAGAAGGTGTAACTTTTATTCTCGCTGTAGTATTGTTGTTGTCGCCGCCGCCATGTCGTGAAGACACTGTGTGATTCGTTGTGAAAGCGAAACTACTTTGTTTGGCCTTCCAAAAGAGGACGATATCCGCTTCGTCATGCCTGGAGCTGATCCGTGCTGGTTGCTGAGGAAATACTACAACTTCGCGCTGTGGATCGCCGGATCGGCTTTCACCGTGGACGAAGCGGAGTTCAGCCTGGGGTCGTCACATGTGGTTGCTGCAAGCCCTCCGGACGCTCCTTCGTCGAATCCGACACCTCTGCTCACTCTAGCCCTCCGGCCGTTCCTCACTTTATCCTCTGGCCTCTGCTCACTCTAACCCTCCAGCCGTTCCTCACGCTAGCCCCCGGCCTCTGC